AGACTAGCAATGCTGCAGGGGGGTGTGTGTGTGTAATTTGTGGCTCTCTGTAGTATACCTGTGATGCTGTTGCTCTGTGCGTGCGTGCGCACGCGCACATGAGAGAGAGGAAAGAGACTCCTTGCAATTGTAGGGAAATGCAGTTTACCCCTGACACCTACTGTGTGACTCTCATCGAGGTTCCCATTTATGCACACCTGTGGATGCATCTGCCCTTTTCTGATCAGAGGCAGCTCTAGGCCCATTGGGGCCTAGGAAGTTGGAGGTCAGGTGCCTGCTGTAGCAAAACCCCATCCCTTCCGAGTCTCCCCACCCCTATAACTGCCCCCAGGCTCCTCCCTTCACTCTGCCTTCAGCTAACCCGGTCGGGCAACCCCAGGGCCCGCCCTTGAGTACTTCCTCTTTGCCCAGCCCTGGAGCAAAAACTGGGGCGTGGTCCTTGCCCTGTCTGTGTGCCTTGAGCCTCTCCTCAAGCTTCCTTCCCCCAGGCCCTGCCCCTAGACCTGTGGTTGTGGGAAAGTAGGGCAGGTCTGTGTTTCAGGCTAGAGGGCTGAGAAAAGCAGACAGGGGAGGATGTGGTCCCTGATACTTGAGTCCCTCCCTGCTCACCGGTGCTGTCTGGGTGAAGCCAAACTCCTGACCAGGATCACCAGGCCTGTGCACCTCCGCTGCTCCCGCAGCCCCACTGGCCACCTCACTCATGCTCAGACCTGCCAGGCTCAGTCCTGTCCCTGAACTTGATGTTCTGCACCTGGAACAGTCTCCCAGCCTTTGCCACATCTGTTCTTTGTCCTCAGGTGAACAAGTGGGCTTTGTTCAGGGAGGCTTTTGCTGACTCTTACTAAAGAAATTGGTTGGGCACAGCGGCTCATGCCTTTAATCCCAGCACTTTAGGAGGCCAAGGTGGGAGGATCACTTGAGTTCCGGAGTTTGAGACCAGCCTGGGTAACATAGCAAGACCCCACCTCTACAAAAACTTTAAAATTCAGCTAGGCGTGGTGGTGTGAGACTGTAGTCCCAGCTACTTGGGAAGCTAAGGCTGGAGGATTACTTGAGCCCAGGAGTTCGGTCCTGGAGTGACCTGGGAGGCTGAGGCTTGAGAATTGCTTGAGCCCAGGAGTTTGGAGCTGCAGTTAACCATGATTTCGCCAGTGTACTGCAGTGACAGAGTGGGTGACAGAGTATGACCTTGTCTCTAAAAAAAATTTTAAAAGCATCTCTGCCCCCCTAGTTGTCCCATCCCTTGTCTCTGTGGTCCTCAAACTTGAATGTGCATCAGCATCTCTGGCCCCACCCCAGTTCTGATTCAGGAGGTTGGGAGTGGTCCTGGACTCTGCCTTTTGAACACCTTCCAAGTCCTGCCTGCTGCTCTCTGGGGACCATTCTGAGCAGCATTGCTTTATGGCGTTCACCAGTGTCTGAGGTCGCCATCCCTGCTCATTTGTTTTCTTACTGATGGTCTGTGTTTCCCTGTTACAACATCAGGTCCCTGCAGGCAGGGACTTGTATTGGCTTTGCTCACTTCCTTGTGGCAGGTGCACGGTATGTAGAGGTGACAGGCTGGAGTTGAGGGTCAGTCATGGAGGCTCCTAACATCAGGCGTAGTGCTTGTGAGGTCCTGGTCAGGGTCAGCAGAGCGTCATGGACAGTGGTGCACTGGGCTGGCAGCCGGGCTGTACACTCCATTTTAGTCCGCCAGTCCCTGCAGGAGGGGAAGCAGCATAGTTAAACCAGGTGCCTTTCAGGTACTGGGCTTTGTGGATTCGCCTCACCTCCATCTCTGTACAACCCTAGGAGGTGAGCACTGTAATTCCCATCATACCCAAGAGGAAACTGAGGCACAGGAGGCTTCAGACACTGGCTCAGGGTCACATGGAAAGGACGCGGCTGTACTTGACTGGAAGCTCCTTGGACCGTGGGGCCCATACTCCAGGCTGCTGCCCCGGAGACCTGCGGGTCCAAGGAGTCGTGCACCTGCTGGACCTAAGTTCTATGAGGGGTGGGGGAGGAGGGCTGATCACCCAGGCCATCCTCAACAGTAAGTGCTTACGGAGCACCTCCTGTGCGCCAGGCCCTGCTCTAGGTGATGGGGACACTCACATCGTGGGTGGGGGGTGTGGTGGGGAGAGATGGATAAGAACTAGGGGAAATACTGAAGGTCTCGGGAGGCAGTAGGGAGATGCGCTTTGCAGAAAGAGCAGGGAGGAGGGGGATCGGGAGGGCGGGGTAGGGGGTGTTAAATAGGGAGGTGGGGAAGGTGTCCACTGAGCAGAGACCTGAGGGAGGTCGAGGGAGCCCTGTGGATGTGGATGTCTGGGAGGAAGGGCATTTTGAGCAGAGGCACCGGCCAAGGCAGGAGCTGGGAGAGGGAGTGCAGGGCTGATGAGGGCAGAGAGGGACCAGGCAGGAGGGCACTGATGGACTCAGGTGATCCCCGGCTCCCTCCGACTGCAGATGGGGGCGGGGACGGGAACAGGGAGACCAGGGAGGAGGCTGCTGGGATGGCCCAGGGGAAAAGCAGTGGCCTGGGCCACTGGCTATTTAATTATTTTATTCATTTATTTTATTCCACACGTTTATTTTACAAGTGTTACATTGTAAGTGTTGCCTACCCTGCATCCTGTCCCACACTGTGCCGGGGACAGAGCAGTGACCCACAGACCCGTGAGGGACTTGGACCTGTCATCGGAGAGTGACGGCCCAGAGTAGTCTGGGATGGGAGCTGCCCAGGGGACTGTGGGGTCACGCATGAGCCAAAGTCCTGAAGGCAAATAAGGATTTGCTAGACAAAGAAGAACTATGGTCTGGACAGACAGAATGGCATGTATTAAGGCTTGGAGTTAAGAGAGACAACTTTGAGTTGCCCCAGGTGGTGGAGGGAATCCCACCTGCACCCCAGAATACATTGAGGCCCCCAAATGGGAATCCTGCCTTGAAATAAACCAAGCCTGTGGCCAGGTGCAGTGGCTCACACCTGTAATCTCCTAGCTCTTTGGGAGACTGAGGCAGGTGGACTGCGTGAGCTCAGGAGTTCGAGACCAGCCTGGGCAACGTGGTGGAACCCTGTCTCTACTAAAATACAAAAAAATTAGCCAGGCGTGGTGGTGGGTGCCTGTAATCCCAGCTACTCGGGAGGCTGAGGCAGCAGAATCACTTGAACCTGGGAGGTGCAGGTTGCAGTGAGCTGAGTTAGTGCCACTGCACTCCAGCCTGGGCGACAGTGTGACTGTTTGTCTCCAAAAAAGAAAGAAAGAAAAATAAGCCAGGCCTGTATCCTACGGCAAGTGGTTTGCCGCTTGGAGCTAGTTTCCTCCTCTGTAAAGCAGGCATGGTTAATAGTATCAAAGGCACCGGCTTGAGAAATAATACAGTTAATCATACGGAGAGCTTGACATAGTTCCTGATAAGGAGTCAACAAAGAATGTCCTTTTAAGGTGCCCGACGCCATCCCCACAGTCCTTATTACAGTTCATGTTTGCACAGTCAAGTTGGGAGTGTCCTGTTTGTTCAGTGTCTGCCTCCCCACCAGAAGGCTCATTCCCCAAGGGCAGGGGCTGTGTCCGGCGGGCTCTGCTGATGCCAGCTCCAGCCAGTGTGCAGATTATTCATTTAGCCTCCGGTGTTTATTGAGCATTCGCTATGTGCCTAGAGTTTTGGGCTGTAGGTACCCGGTGGTAACCCAGACCTCCTGAAGGTCACAGTCTGGGTAGACAGTAAACAAACAATAAATAAGCAGGACACTCCAGATAACCTGAGGTGTGGCAACGGAGGTGACTGCCTTAGGCTGGATAATGGCGAAGGAGAGCATTTGAACTGAAGAGGACAGAGCCAGTGATGCCGGGCCATGGAAGGACATTCAGGTGGAGGGAGGGACTACTAGTGTGGAGGCCTTGGCATGGGAATGAGGTTGGAGAGCTTAGGGACAAAAGCAGGCTGGGATGGCCAGGGTGGAGGGAGGACAGGGAGAGGGAGGACATGAGGTCAGCGAGGTGTCAGGGCCAAATCACCACACCAGGGTGAGGTCTTTGCTTTTACCTGGAGTGAGATGCAACCAGGGCAGGGCTCAGACCTGACTCAGACAGTTACAGGCCGCCTCTGGTTGTCAGACACCAGGGAAGAGGCTGCTGGGATGTCCAGGCTGGAGGTGATGGAGGCTGGAGCAGGGAGAAATGGGTATAATAAAAATAATGGATGCTAGGCACGGTGGCTCACCCCTGTAATCCCAAAATTTTGGGAGGCCGAGGCGGGCGGATAACCTGAGGTCAGGAGTTCAAGACCAGCCTGGCCAACATGGTGCAACCCTGTCTCTACAAAAATTAGCCAGGCATGATGGTGGGTGCCTGTAATCTCAGCTACTAGGGAGGCTGGGGCGGAAGAATCGCTTGAACCTGGGAGGCAGAGGTTGCAGTGAGCTGAGATTGTGCCATTGCACTCCAGTCTGGGCGACAGAGCGAGACTCCATCTCAAACTAAAAATAATGGAAATAGGGCTGGGTGCAGTGGCTCACACCTGTAATACCAGCACCTATGGTAGTGTCCAAAGTGGGAGGATCACTTGAGGCCAGGAGTTTGAGAACAGCCCGGGCAACATAACTAGACCCTATCTGTACAAAAATGTTTTAAAAATAAAAAAGCTGATGCAGGGGGGTGCACCTGTAGTCCCAGCTACCCGGGAGGCTGAGGCGGGAGGATCTCTAGAGCCCAGGAGCTCGAGGCTGCAGTGAGCCATGATTGTGCCACTACACTCCATCCTGGGTGACAGGGCAAGACCCTATCTCTAAAAATAAAAATAAGAATAAATAATGGAAATAGATTTTGAAGTGAGAGGTGAGGAAAATAAATTAAGAAAGATGCTTAGGGTTTAGCTCCAACAACTGAGTGGAAAGTTGCTGTTCAATACATATTTGTTGTATGAATTAGGAAGTTAACATATTTGTTGTATGAATTAGGAAGTTAATAGCAGGTATAGGCCAGGCATGGTGGCTCACGCCTGTAATCCCAGCATTTTGGAAGGCTGAGGTGGGCAGATCACTTGAGGTCCGGAGTTTGAGACCAGCCTGGCTGACGTGGTGAACCTGTGTCTCTACTAAAAATACAAAAATTAGCCAGGCATGGTAGTGTGATCCTGTAATCCCAGCTACTCGGGAAGTTGAGGCAGGAGAATCACTTGAACCCAGGAGGAGAAGGTTACAGTGAGCTGAGATCACACCACTGCACTCCAGCCCGGGCGACAGAGCGAAAAACTCCGTCTGAAAATAAAACAAAACATAGCAGGTGTGGTCGTCGAGAGCTCTCTATGTGCCACACTCTGTTAGAATTACTTTACGTGGGCTGGGCATGGTGGCTCATGCCTGTAATTCCAGCACTTTGGGAGGCTGAGGCCAGAGGATTATTTGAGGCCAGGATTTTGAGACCAGCTTGGGCAACTTAGGAAGACCCCATCTCAAAAAAAATTAAAGTGGGCTGGGCATGGTGGCTCGCACCTGTAATCCCAGCACTTGGGAGGCCAAGGTGGGCGGATCATGAGGTCAAGATTTCGAGACCAGCCTGGCCAACATGGTGGAACCCCATCTACTAAAAATACAAAAGTTAGCCATGTGTGGTGGCAGGAACCTGTAGTCCCAGCTACTTGGGAGGCTGAGGCAGGAGAATCAGTTGAACCCAGGAGGTGGAGGTTGCAGTGAGCCGAGATCATGCCACTGACGCCAGCCTGGGCGACAAAGCAAGACTGTCACAAAAAATAAATAAAATAAAGTAAAATAAAGGAAGTGCTTTACATGTCCTGATGTGTTTAAGCCCCAAAACAACCAGATGAGGACATGTATTTATTATCCCTGGATTACTGATGAAGTAACCGTAGCACAGAGACGTTAAGGAGCATGTTCTGAGTCTCACTGCTGGGAAGAGGAACGGGATGGCTGGGTGGATGGGTGTGTATTCGGGTGGGCCTCTGAAAATAGGCCTGTCCCCGAACCCCAGCCTGTTTCTTCCAGTTAACACTTCTCTTCCTCTTCCTGCCCCCAGCACCACACCCCACTCCGGCCGGAGCACGCCAAGCAGCTCCCCATCGCTCCGGAAGCGGCTGCAGCTCCTGCCCCCAAGCCGGCCCCCACCTGAGCCAGAACCAGGCACCATGGTGGAGAAGGGGTCGGATAGCTCCTCAGAGAAGGGTGGGGTGCCTGGTACCCCCAGCACCCAGAGCCTCGGCAGCCGGAACTTCATCCGAAATAGCAAGGTTGGTGCAAACCCAGGTGGGGTGGGGAGAGGGCTGGGGGGGGCTGGCTGGTGATCTAGGGGCTCATCCTGACTCCTCTCCTTTCCTTTGCAGAAGATGCAGAGCTGGTACAGTGTAAGTGTCTGGGCAAGAGGCTTGCTGGAGGGTTGGGAGGACAGGGTGCTGGGCCAGGAGCCCCAGGCTGCAGCAGTCAAGGAGGGCGTGCTGAGATGGAGTGGGTGCAGACCTAGGGTCACATTCTGTGCTGTTATTTATGTGCTGTGTGACCTTGGGTGAGTTACTTAACCTCTCTGGGCCTCTCTCTGTCCTTGAGAAACAGCTCCAGCTTACAAGGCTGGAGGGAACATTGAATGAGTCAGTGATGCTGGTGGGTGCTTGGTGCAGGGCCTGGCTTACGTAAGAAATCTGTAAATGGCAGCTGTCACTGCGGTTACTGGTGTGTTGTGTGCATTAGAATCTGTCAGGGACTTAAGAGGCTGAGGGGGTTCCAGGAGCTTTATGGGGCAGAATTGGGAGTGTGAACCCCCATCCAGATTCTCACCTCCCAAACTTCCTCAGATGCTGAGCCCCACTTACAAGCAGCGTAATGAGGACTTCCGGAAACTGTTTAGCAAACTGCCCGAAGCAGAACGCCTCATTGTGGGTGAGTCCCGGACCCCCAGTCCCAGCTCCTAGCCTGGCCCTGTGACTCCCCGCCAGCCCGTGGGCGCCAGCACAGCCTCGTGACTTGGGTGTCCTCCTGTCTCTCCCCGACCACTCTCAGATTACTCCTGCGCCCTGCAGCGCGAGATCCTGCTCCAGGGCCGCCTCTACCTCTCGGAGAACTGGATCTGCTTCTACAGCAACATCTTCCGCTGGGAGACCACCGTGAGCCCACGGCGGGGCGGGGTGCAGGGGCGGGGGCCCTCACGTCCAGGCCCCACCCCGCTCCTATTGACCATTCTGCTGTCCTCAGATCTCCATCCAGCTGAAGGAAGTGACATGCCTGAAGAAGGAGAAGACGGCCAAGCTGATCCCCAACGCCATCCAGATCTGTACAGAGAGCGAGAAGGTGACGGAGGACCCGGTGATGGGACCACGCGGTCCCCCCTCTCAGCAGGCCACCTCCCCCAACCATGCAGAGCCCCGTTTGTTCTGCATCCTGAGTTCTCTCCTGCTGTCCCCTTCTCTCTGTTCTCCCGGCCCAGGCGCCCATCACCCCTGACCTGATCCCTGCACCAGCCTCTCCTCTCTTTCCCTGCAACCTGTCACCTCACACAGCTGCTCAGGAACAGCAGAAATAGTAAAACTCTTCCATGCATGTGGCACCTCAGCCGCCCCTCCCTTCGTAAGTCTCCCCTGATGCTGTGTCCTGTCCCTGTCATTGTGGCCTTATGTCCGTTGGTTGCAAAGATGGCTTTCTCACCAGCGGTCCAAGAAGAAGGGGGACAGGTGTAGGGGACACTTCCCAGCAGACTTCCCTTTGTGTTTTGTTGGTTAAAAGTTGATCTGGCCAGGTGCAGTGGCTCATGCCTGTAATCCCAGCATTTTGGGGAGGCTGAGGTGGGAAGATTGCTTGGGCCTAGGAGATCGAGGCTAGCCAGGGCAACATAGTGAGACCCTGTCTCTAAAAAAACCCCCAAAAATTAACCGGGTGTGGTAGCACACACCTGTAGTCCCAGCTACTTACTCAGGAGGCTGAGACGGGAGGATGGCCTGAGCCCAGAAGGTTGAGGCTGCAGTGAGCCATGATCACACCACTGCACTCCAGCCTAGGTGACAGAGCCAGACCCCGTCTCAAAAAAAAAAAAAAAGATCAGCTGACCATTCTTAGTGGCAAAGGAGGCTGGGAAAGTTCCCTGGGCTTCCCCCATCATATTCCAGCCTCTCTGGGCTGACCCTGTCTAGAGATGCATCTGTCCCCTCCCTGGACTGGGAGCTCCAAGGACAGGGCCAGCGGCCGTCTCCCCATCCCAGTGATTCTGGCATTGTCCAGCGCAGGGCCGGGCGCAGGACAAACGTTCTGTGGAACTAATGCAGAGGTGAATTAGTGGATTCATGGGGACAAAGATGTGGCGTCAGCACAATTGAGGGTGCTGCTTCTCCGCCTCTGTCCTGGTCTCTCCCCAACCTGCTCACACCTCTGTCTCTCTCCCTGACAGCATTTCTTCACTTCCTTCGGGGCCCGTGACCGCTGCTTCCTCCTCATCTTCCGCCTCTGGCAGAATGCGCTGCTTGAAAAGGTGGGCCTGGGTGAGGCCTGGGTGGGGATGGGGAGTTCCCAGGGGGACCATGGAGCCAGGGACCCCAGAACTTGCCGAGCTGTAGGCAGCCTGGCTCTTCTCCATGGGCACCAGGCCCGGTGCCCCTGCAGCGCCTCCCTGGGCCCCACCTGACCCTGAAGCTGAATCTCTGGCAAAGGGACATGAATTGGTGTAAACCGTCGTAATTCTTCCCTGGGGCTGGGAATGATTTTCACCCTGAAGGAAGTCCAGGTTCCGCTGGTAGTGGGGGAGCGTGGAGCGCGGATAGAGGTTGGGTGGTCATCATAGGATACCGGCTATGGCTGGCCCACAGCACCTCAGAGAGCCCCAGCCCCATCCTCTGGCTGCGCGGCACTCACTCGCTGCCTTCTCAGAGGCTCCGATCTCCCTCGGGCAGGCAGGAGTGCTGAGGGTCCCATTCAGCATCCTGAGAGAGGGACAGAGCACAGTCAGACTCTAAGGAGGGCAGGACAGAGCCCCGGAGTTCCAGCTTCATCCCCTGGTGCAAGTGATTGAACCCCATCTGTCAAATGGGAGCCATCCCCACTTCACAGCACCCAGAATTGTGCCCAGAATAAGTACTCAGTCATGTCAGCTCTTAGGAGCAGAGTAGCCCAGTGGTTAGGGTCACATCTCAGCACTGCCACTTCCTGGCAGGACCTTGGCATATCATCTTGCACTTCTCAGCGCCATTGTCTTAAAAGGATGATGAGGTTAGCACCTACTTTCCAGATAGTTATGAAGACACAGTGAGTTAGCACATCTGTAAAGCCGTTAGAAGAATGCGCCTAGTTGACAAGTTGGCAAATGTCTGCTGCTATGATCACTTACTGTTATCTGTCATCACTGTCATTCAGCCACTCTGGCCGTGGGTGGGTGAAAGCCCAAGGCTCCCGAGGACACCTGGGAAGAGATTCGGGGAGCTGGGATGGCATAGGGGTGGGAGCCTCAGTCCTGGTGTCTGGCAGGGCTTGACCAAGTCATTTGGTGACCTTGAGCACATGACTTTCCCTACATGACTTCCCTTTCCTGGGCCTCCATATTCTCTGTAAAAATGGGAACATTCATGGCTGGGCGCGGTGGCTTATGCCTGTAATCCCAGCACTTTGGGAGGCTGAGATGGGCAGATCATGGTGCCCACGAGGTCAGGAGTTCGAGTCCAGCCTGGCCAATGTGATGAAACCCCATCTCTACTAAAAATGCAAAAATTAGCCGGGTGTAGTGGCGGCCACCTGTAATCCCAGCTCCTTGGGAAGCTGAGGTAGGAGAATCGCTTAAACCCGGGAGGCAGAGATTGCAGTGAGCTGAGATCATACCACTGCACTCCAGCCTGAGCGACAGAGCCAGACTCCATCTCAAAAAAATAAAATAAAAAAAAGTTATTAAAAAAATGGGAACATTTTCTGGCCAGAGTATTGTGGGAACTTGGGAGGTGAGAGGTTTGAGTTTTGGGCGCAGGGCCTGGAGGGGCTGTAGCAGGGGTTTCCCTGTATGCTGGGGCCAGGTCTGGTGCGGGAGATCGTGGCTGCCTCCTTGTGGAAGCCAGGGGAACTGCGGAGGCCGAGGGCTGGTGGGGAATCTGGTGGGCCGGGCTCTGGCTGGGGTGAGATGGGAAGCCAACCCCAGATCCTGCCTCCCCAGACGCTGAGTCCTCGCGAGCTCTGGCACCTGGTGCATCAGTGCTATGGCTCAGAGCTGGGCCTCACCAGTGAGGATGAGGACTATGTCTGCCCCTTGCAGCTGAACGGTTTGGGGTGAGTTGGAGGTCAAGGGAGGTTGAAGGGTTCGGGGGAGAACTGGACGGCCGGCGTGCAGAGTTGAGTGCTGGGGGGCCAGAGGTGGTGGTACAAAGTCTGGGGGATTCAGGAGGGTGTGTGGGGTCTCAAGGACACAGCAGTCCTGCTTCCTCCCCTTCCCCACAGGGCCCCCAAGGAAGTGGGAGATGTGATCGCCCTGAGCGACATCACCTCCTCGGGGGCAGCTGACCGGAGCCAGGAGCCAAGCCCAGTGGGTTCGCGCCGTGGCCGCGTCACGCCCAACCTTTCCCGAGCCAGCAGCGACGCAGACCATGGGGTGAGTGGTGGGGTGGAAGAGGGGTGGGATACTGATAGGAAGAGACAGGAGGGCTGGGGGGGGTGCAGTGGGAGAAGGATAGCCTGACAGATTTGGAGGGGAATGGACAGAGGGACAGGGGAGGCCTGGATGGAGCGATGGGATGGGGAGGGGAAGACGGGCATGGAACAGATTGGAAAAGAGAGACAGGGAAGAGAGGGGACAGACAGAAAGGACGAGAGACAGAAGGGGTGGGAGATGGGTCGATAGATGAAGCAGCAGACAGACAGACAGGACAGGTAAGAAAGCTTATGGCCCAGGCATCTGAAACAAGCCTGACGGGCTGAGAGGGGCCCTCATCTGGGTGGCCCCAGGCCACTCGAAGCTCAGCCGTGAGCCCTTGGTGCACACACCACCCACGGTCTGCACAGGCTCTGGAATCCTTGTGGCCAGTGTGGACTTGGGAGCCCTGGGGCTGGGATGGAGGTGGCCAAGGCTGCATCAGGCGTTTCTCTGCAGGCAGAGGAGGACAAGGAGGAGCAGGTAGACAGCCAGCCAGACGCCTCCTCCAGCCAGACAGTGACCCCGGTGGCTGAACCCCCGAGCACAGAGCCCACCCAGCCTGATGGGCCCACCACCCTGGGCCCCTTGGATCTGCTGCCCAGCGAGGAGCTGTTGACAGACACGAGTAACTCCTCTTCGTCCACTGGGGAGGAAGGTGAGGCAGGCGGGCCCGATTCATTTGCCTCCGGTACTTGCAAGCCTCTCTTAGTCTTAAGCAAGAGAGGATGGATTAGCTGGCGGCACTGAGAATCCAGGGGCAGGCGGATGGCGTTCAGGCACTGTTGCTAGAAATCTCTGTCTTCACCCTGCTTTGAAGGCAGCATGGCAGGGTGAACACGAGCACAGACTGAAGGCAGCTTGCCAGGATTCAGATCCTGGTCACACCACTTGCTGACCATGTCACATGGGCAAATTGTGTAACTTCTCTGAGCTTTGCTTTCCTCCTCTGAAAACGGGGCTAACAATGATAATACTCACTTCATAGGGTTGTTGTTAAGAGACTATAAATGAGGCCGGGTGCGATGGCTCACACCTGTAATCCCAGCACTTTGGGAGGCCAAGGTGGGAAGGTTGCTTGAGGCCAGGAGTTGGAGAACAGCCTGGGCAGCAAAGCAAGACCCCATTCTGTACAAAAAAGAAAAAAAACGAAAAAGCTAGTTGTGGTGGTGCACACCTATAGTCTCAGCTACTTGGCAGACCAAGGCAAGAGGATCCCTTGAGGCCAAGAGTTTGAGACAAGCCTGGGCAACATAGTGAGACCCCTGTCTTTACAAAAAAATTAAAAAATTAGCCAGGCATGGTGACATGCACCCTGTGTAGTCTCAGCTACTGGGGAGGCTGAGGCAGGAGGATCGCTAGAGCCCAGGAGTTGGAGGCTGCAGTGAGCTATGATTGCACCACTGTACTCCAGCCTGGGCAACAGAGCGAGACCTTGTCTCTAAAACGAACAAAGGGAGAGAATTAAGTGATTTCATACATCTAAAGCACTTGTACCAGTTAGTAAGTGTTGACTATTAGTATTTCTATTATCATTATTATATTCATTTTCTCTCTCCACTAAGTCTCAGGTAGCCTCTACTCTTGTGTCTTATGGGGCAGAGATGGCCTCAGCCCTGCCCCAGTCCAGCCCAGTGAGAGAGAGCAGCCTATTTCTCCCAGTGTCTACAGCGGACACCCTAGGGTTGGCTCTGATTGGGCCAGCTTGAGAGCATGCCTGCCCCTGAACCAATCACTGTGGTTGATCGGCTAGACCTGGGCCACCCACTCACCCCTGAACCAATTGCTGTGCTCCTAGGCTGATGCTCCCAGGAGCGCGAGTGCTATCCGGTAATGAATCCCTGTGAGTTAAGTCTCAGGGCCTAGGTGTGTTCTCCACCCAGAACCAAGCACAGTGGCTCTGACTGTCCGGACCTGGAGCACATGCCAACCCTCAGCCCATCCCTGAGTCACAGGAGGGCTCTGGGTCAGTGTCCTGCTCTGCTCCAGGAGGTTGGGTCTGCCCATGCGCCCTACAAGGCCCGGGAGTGGGGAGGCGTGGCCCGCGGAGGGAGGGACGAGTGGAGGCAGTCGTCATCCCCAGCTCTCCTCTGTCTCTAGCGGACCTGGCTGCCCTGCTTCCCGACCTCTCTGGCCGCCTCCTCATCAACTCTGTCTTTCATGTGGGCGCTGAGCGGCTCCAGCAGATGCTCTTCTCGGACTCGCCCTTCCTCCAGGGCTTCCTACAGCAGTGCAAGTTCACAGGTCAGCGGGCGCATGAAGGAGAGGCTGAGGTTACCCAGGTGCAGGGGAGGGGTGAGAAAGGGTAGCCCAGGACAGGGGAAGGCACTGCTAGCCAGTGCGGCTGGGTGGGGTGCTGAAAAGCAACGTTTCTGAGACCAGACGCAGTTCTGCCTCTTACTAGCTGGGTAGGCTTGGGAGGGGTTCTGAGACTCTGTTCCTCAGTTTCTCCTTCTGTATAATGGGGGTATGATAATAGTACCTGGCTTATTGGTTATCATGAGATCTAAGTGAGTTCATATTAGAAAAGTGCCTGGAGCAATACCATATAGTAAGCGTTTAATAAATACAAGTTAAGAGGCTGAGGCAGGGCTGGGCACCGTGGCTCACACCTGTAATCCTAGCACTTTGGGAGGCCGAGGCAGGTGGATCACCTGAGGTCAGGAGTTCGAGACCAGCCTGGCCAACATGGCGAAACTCTGTCTTTACTAAAAATACAAAAAAATTAGCCGGGCATGGTGGCGGGCACCTGTAATCCCAGCTACTCAGGAGGCTGAGGCAGGAGAATCGCTTGAACCTGGGAGGCAGAGGTTGCAGTGAACCGAGATCGTGCTGTTGCACTCCAGCCTGGGTGACAGAGCGAGACTCTGTCTCAAAAAAAAAAAAAAAAAGCAGGAGTGGGGCCAAGGCAGGAAGGTCATGTCAGCCCAGAAGCTGGAGACCAGCCTAAAAAAAAAAAAAAAAAAAGCAGGAGTGGGGCCAAGGCAGGAAGGTCATGTCAGCCCAGAAGCTGGAGACCAGCCTGGGCGACATAATGGGACTAAGTCTTTACAAAAATAAAAAAAAAAAATTAGCTGAGCATGGTGCTGCATACCTGTAATCCCAGGTACTTTGGAGGCTCAGGCAGGACAATTGCTTGAACCCAGGAGGTGGAAGTTGCAGTGAGCTGAGATTATGCCACTGCACTCCAGAGAGAGACTTCATAAAAACCAAAAAAAGCTCCTGAGGCCTCCCCGAAGCCGAGCAGATGCCGGCATCACGCTTCCTGTGCAGCCTGTGGAACTGTGAACCCATTCACCTCTGGTTTTTTTTTTTGAGACGGAATCTCGCTCTGTCGCCCAGGCTGGAGTACAGTGGCCGGATCTCAGCTCACTGCAAGCTCCGCCTCCCGGGTTCACGCCATTCTCCTGCCTCAGCCTCCCGAGTAGCTGGGACTACAGGCGCCCGCCACCTCGCCTGGCTAGGTTTTTGTATTTTTTAGTAGAGACGGGGTTTCACCGTGTTAGCCAGGGTGGTCTCGATCTCCTGACCTTGTGATCCGCCCGTCTGGGCCTCCCAAAGTGCTGGGATTACAGGCTTGAGCCACCGCGCCCGGCCAACTTCTTTTCTTTATAAGTTACCAAGCCTCAGGTATATATAGTAATGTAAAAACAGCCTAATACAGAGCTCCTCAGCCTGACATGCCAGCCCCTTTAGGACATAAGCATAGTTTTGGGGGCCTTGTAGCCCCACAACACGAGGCACAGTCGTCCTGACTCTGCAGGAGATACTACATGTCTCATCAACATAGAAAAAGAAACAAAGAGAAACTCCCATCTTACGTGCTCCTCCCCTGCTTGAATCTCTTTGGTAGCCTCCCAGGTTCCTTGACTGGTCTCATGTGAACCCTTCCAGCCTCACCCAGTGCTGTGGCTGCCCCTCTCCATACCTGGCTGCTCCGTCCCAGCCTCAGGGGACTTCTCCCAGTGTCAGCCTCCAGCCTCAGGGCCTTTACTGATACCACACCGTTCTCCTGGGCTCCTCTGCCCCCACCCCCTTCCTTCCTCAGTTCCTTCTTCAGGCCTTGGTTTTGATTTCACATCCTCCTGGCAGCCTTCCCTGACCTTCCTCAGATCCCATGTACCCCCAGATACTCAGCCTCTGCCCTTAACTCACACCACGCTGGTAGTGTGTGGTCTTTATTTTTAGATGTTTCCTGTTGTTCTCAAAAGATTCTGGGTGCTAAGGACAGGAGTTCATCTATCCTGGTCTCCCACTGGCCTCCAAGCCCTGCATAGGCCTGACAGAGTGGACATTAAGTGTGTGATCATTAACATGTATTTATGTATTTATTTTTGAGTCGGGGTCTTGCTGTCACCCCAACTGGAATGCAGTGGCACAATCTTGGGACACTGTAGCCTCTGCCTCCGGGGTTCAAGTGATTCTCCTGCCTCAGCCTCCTGAGTAGCTGGGATTATAGGCACCCACCACCACGCCCGGCTAATTTTTGTATTTTTAGTAGAGACGGGGTTTCACCATGTTGGCCAGGCTGGTTTCGAACTCTTGACCTCAAGTGATCCTCCTGCCACGGCCTCCCAAATTTCCCAAAGTGCTGGGATTACAGGCATGAGCCACCATGCCCAGCTGTCTCAGGGAGCTTTTGATCATGGTGGAAGGCAAAGGGGGAGCAAGTGAGAGAGAGTGGAGGGGAGGTGCCACACACTTACATGACCAGATCTCGGAAGAACTCACTATCATGAAGACAGCAGCAAACCATGAGGGATCCACCCTTATGATCCAAACACCTCTCACCAGGCCCCACCTCCAGCACGGGGGATTACAATTCAGCATGAGATTTGGGTGGTGACAAATAGCCAAACTGTACCAAACTCAGACTCTGTTCTAGGGGTACTGGGGAGCCATGGAGTGTTCTAGGCAGAGAATGGATAGAGTCAGGCTTGGCTTTAACAAGATGCCCCTGGACCAGATGAGGAGACTGAGGCCAGACACTCAAGGGAAGGCTGGGAGGGGCACCGGGCAGGCAAAGATGGGCTGAACCAGGAGTGACGCTTGGGAGGTTTGGTGAACACACAGTGTAGGTAACAAACTAGGGGTCTGACTAGGGGGTGTCCACGGCAAGGCCTGGTGCTCCAGTGGGAGCCTGGAGGACCCTGGACCACCCCCGAGTGGGGGCCTGAGAGATGCTGCAGGTTTGGGGAGATGCTGAGGCCGTGTGGAGCTCAGTGGGTTCGAGGGGTCCGAGGACCTTCCAGGAGAAGGTGTTCAAAAGATTGCAGGTCCAACGCTCAGGGCAGAAGCCAGGACGGGTGCAGAGGGGGAAACTGAGGCTGCAGCAGTGGATGAGATGGCCCTACCCCAACAGCTAAGGTTTTAGGCTCCTGGAAGGAAGGTGGGGACACAGAGGAGGGGTGTGGATTGGGACAAGTCCCCAGAGAGAGACCTCCCAGAAGGCTGAGTCTCCTGCGGCCTGTGGGCAAAGGACTGGGGTGTGGCCTCCTCATGCTGCTCCTCCCTCCCCTAGACGTGACCCTGAGCCCCTGGAGCGGGGACAGCAAGTGCCACCAGCGCCGGGTGCTGACGTACACCATCCCCATCAGCAACCCACTGGGCCCCAAGAGCGCCTCTGTGGTGGAGACACAGGTGGGCCAGGCGGGGCAGCCGGGCAGGTGGGGCAGCTGGGTGGGTGGCGTGGCCCTGACTGCCCCAGCTCTGTCCCTGCAGACGCTGTTCCGGCGCGGCCCCCAGGCCGGCGGATGTGTGGTGGACTCCGAGGTGCTGACGCAGGGCATCCCCTACCAGGACTACTTCTACACTGCCCACCGCTATTGCATCCTGGGTGTGGCTCGGAACAAGGCGCGGCTCCGGTGAGTGGTGACTGGGCCCCTCCACCCCATGCCCTGGTGGCTCCAGGGCCTCCTGTCCACTTCTCAAGTCAACAGAAAAGCGTTGGTTCCCACCCTGGTGGAGGAACAGAAGCGTGGGGTTCCTGAGGACCCTGCGCTCCGAATAGTGGAGGGTAGAGAAAGAGTGGCCCAGGGATGGCTCCTCCCATCTGCAGAGGGTGTTTGAGCCTCAAGACTCTGAGGATACAGCAAAGCCAGGCAGTATCACTTCTCTCAGGGAGCTCATAGTCTAGTAGGGAATTGGACAATAGAGAAATAATTAGGAAAATCTGCAGAGCATTCACTGGCAGTTAGGCCTATGGAGAAAAACGAGGAAAACACGGCAGGCTGAAGAAGCAGGGCGTGGAGGCTTTTACACCCGATACGCTGGTCAGGGAAGGGCCCGCTGGGAAAGAAATTTTTCACCAAGAACCTGAAGGAGCTGAGAGCAACTCATTTGGGACAGCAGGTGCAAAGGCCCTGAGGCAGGGGTGGGGGCAGTGACTGGAGTGGAGTAAGATTGGGTGAGAAGGAGCTGAGATTAAAGCGGTGAACCCGGGCCCGGCACAGTGGCTCACACCTGTAATCCCAGGACTTTGGGAGGCCGAGGCAGGTGGATCACTTGAGGTCAGGAGTTTGAGACCAGCCTGGCCAACATGGTGAAACCCCATCTCTACTACAAATACAAAATTAGTTGGGGGTGGTGGCGCATGTCTGTAATCTCTACTATTTGGGAGGCTGAGGCACAAGAATCATTTGAACCTAGGAGGCGGAGGTTGCAGTGAGCCGAGATCGGGCCACTGCACTTCAGCCTGGGTGACAGAGTGAAACTCTGTCTCAAACAAACAAACAAAAAAACAAATAAAAAGATTAGCCAGATATGGTGGAGATTTCAGTGAGCCGTGATTGCACCACTGCACTCCAGCCTGGGTGACAGAGTGAAACTCTGTCTCAAACAAACAAACAAAAAAACAAATAAAAAGATTAGCCAGATATGGTGGAGATTTCAGTGAGCCGTGATCATGCCGTTGCACTTCAGCCTGGGCGACAGAGCAAGACCCTGTCTCAAAAAAAAAAAAAAAAGGTGAACCAGATGTGGCTCGTGGTGAAGACTTTACTTTTACCTGGAGGGAAGGGCAACCAGGCCAGGGCTCTGAGCCAGGAGGGGCTGACCTGACTCAGGTGGTCCCAGGCTCCTTCTGGCTGCCTCTATTCTGGTGGGAATAGACTGCAAGGACAGGGACAGGAGCAGGGAGGAGGAGGGTGCTGGCGTCACCCAGGCTGGAGGGGACGGAGGCTGAATCAGGGTGGGGAAATGGAGGGGGAAGAGTTAGATTCCGGAGAGATTTTGTAGGTTTAGCTGACAGGATTTGCAGAGAGATTGGATGTGGGGGTGAGGGAAAGAGAGCTCGAGGAATACCCCGAGGCGTTTGGCCCGAGCCACTCCAACCACAGAGCTGCCGTTGACCCAGATGGCGATGGCAGGGAGGAATGGGTTTGGGGAACGACCAGGAGGTCAATGTGGGACTGAGCTGTCTGTGTGGAGCTGAGCCTGTGTGGAGTTGGGGTGCAGCAGCTGGATGGAAGAGGTTCAGGGGCAAGGTCTGGCTAAGACGTCGGTCAGTGGGTGGACAGGGCTCAGGCCACCGGGAGCCTTGCCCATGTACTGGGCATGGGTGGAGAAGGACCGAGGGCTGAGTTGGCTGGCATTCGGGCTGAGCGGGGTGGTGTATGGGGTATCCAGGGAAGCCATGGAGGGTAGGGAACCCATCTGTTTTGTCTGTGAGTGACAAGGGGCCCTCTCTGAATTAGGGGAAGGAAAGAACTCAACTTGGGGGATGGGACAGCCAGGGCTGGAGTCAGACCCTGACCTCCTTCCCCTGATCTCCCAACCCCAGAGTGTCCTCTGAGATCCGCTACCGAAAGCAGCCATGGAGCCTGGTGAAGTCGCTCATTGAGAAGAACTCGTGGAGCGGCATTGAAGACTATTTCCACCATCTGGGTAGGGACAGAAGGCCGGCCGGGGCACGGGTTGGGGGATGGCCTGGCCAGGGATGGGCATCCAGAGCCCCCTCTCTTCTATGCAGAGCGAGAGCTCACCAAGGCCGAGAAGCTGTCTCTGGAGGAAGGCGGGAAGGATGCCCGGAGCTTGCTATCCGGCCTGCGGCGGCGGAAGCGGCCCCTGAGCTGGCGGGCTCATGGGGACGGGCCCCAGCACCCAGATCCTGACCCCTGTGCCCGGGCTGGCATGCACACCTCGGGTGCGTTCCGTTGGGGCCGGGTCGGGGTGGGCGGAGGACTAGGGGCCTGGACCGGGCCCTCTGACTCCAAGCTGCTCTCCTGCAGGCTCCCTCAGCTCCCGCTTCTCCGAACCGTCTGTGGACCAGGGCCCCGGGGCAGGCATCCCCAATGCCCTGGTTCTCATCAGCATCGTGTGAGTAAGAGACAGGAGCAGTGGCCACACAGGCCTGAACCTGCCTCCTGGCTGTGTGACCTTGGGCAAGTGCATGGCCTCTCTGGGCTCTCTGCTTAAGTGGGAGCGTGGATTTGCTCACAGCAAGGATTAGATGAGGCGATGTTTGGGATGTGTCGGTTTGTCATAGAGAAGCCTTCCCTGCTAGAAGAGCAGAGCCCGGGGGAGCTATGGGAGATCAGAGGGGCCTGACCTCACCCAAGGATCAAGGGGGGCTCTCTGGAGGAGCAGGCACACAAAGATTCTGGAATTAGGTGCACAGGGAGAGGTGTGCCTAACCAGTGAGGTCATTTATGCACGCTGCATTCTCTGTGCCCACCCCAAAGCCGGGCGATGCTCAGGACACAGCAGTGACCTTGAGGAAAAGATAGCTCTGACACCAGACCAGAGTGATCTGGGCCGGGATGGAGGATGCATGGGCAGAGGGATCAGGGCCAGGAGTGGGAAAGCCCTGGGAGGCCAGCGGCGGCTTCCTCCCAGGCCACAGCGGGCAGTCAGGATGGGCGTCCTGAGAGAGTGGAGACCGTCTAGGCTGAGAAGGGCTTGGGCAGGGAGAATCCACACGCCTGCCCAGAAGCCTGCAGGAGTTGGCGGGCAGGACGCTGGGAGGAAACAGAAGCCGGATCCCGGGGTTGAGCAGACCCTGGGAGGTGAGGGTCAGGCCGGCTACGTGCTCAGCCTCTGAACCTCAGCTCTCAGCTCTCATCCAGTGAGGGGGTATGGTGCGCTCGGCCCAGAGCTGCCCAGGGCGAGGAGGGCTGGGGGTGTCGGGGGCAGGCCGGGCGGTGCTCATCTCTCTGTCTCCCCTCACTGCTGCTGCTGCAGGATCTGTGTGAGGTAGGGTCCTGAGTCCTCCCCCTGCCCTACCCGCCCTGCACCCCACGCCCTGGGGAGACCCGTCCTGCACCCCATGCCCTGTGGAGACCCGCCCTGCACCCCACGCCTGTTGCAGCGTCTTCTCCCCACCCCACGCCCCCCGGCTCCCCCAGGGAGGCGATCTGGCATGGCAGTCAAGGGTATGGGCATCAGACAGGCCTGGATTTGAACCCTGACTTTCCTGCTATGGACTGTGCAACCCTGGCATGTCTCACCCTCTCTGAGCCTCATTCTCCTCCTCTGCAATGGAGGATAGAGGTGTCCCTACAAGGTGTAGCTATATGGGGGGGTTCAGAGCATCTAGATCCCAGGAATTCTGACCTCTGACCCCTGTCCCCAGCCTTATCATCCTCATCGCCCTCAACGTCCTGCTTTTCTACCGCCTCTGGTCCCTGGAAAGGACAGCCCACACCTTTGAGTCCTGGCACAGCCTGGCCCTGGCCAAGGGGTGAGTGGGTGGCCTGGGGAAATGGGGGGGCTTGGGCACACTGGGGGAGGCCAAGGCCCTGCTCAGGCCCGGCATCCCCACAGCAAGTTCCCCCAGACGGCCACAGAGTGGGCCGAGATCCTGGCGCTACAGAAGCAGTTCCACAGCGTGGAGGTGCACAAGTGGAGGCAGATCCTGCGGGCCTCCGTGGAGCTCCTGGATGAGGTAGGAGGCGCCGCTCGGGCAGGGCCCGGGGCTACAGGGCTGTAGGGTCCTGTGTTGAAACCCCACCATGTGGCAGGCACCTCCCTTCTCCGGGTCTCAGTGTCCTCCTCTGTAAAATGAGGAAGGCACTCAGAGTCCCCACCCCACAGCGTTGCAGGGGAAAGCACAGAAGTGTGAATGGAAGAAAGAATTGATTGACTCACGTCCTGGAGAAAAGTCCAGAGGCATCTCACGTTAGGCACGGCTGGGTTTGGTCACTCAGTGGCAGTAAGAGTCAGTCTCGTGCTCATTCTGCCCTGTGCCCATCTCCAGGGTTGACTTCATTGGAGGCCACACTTTTCCCCCCACCGGGGATCACGGTGCTTACTCTCATTGCCTGCTGGGGTCTCAGGCCCACCCCTGACCCATCACAGCAGCCAGGGCAGGCCAGGTGTGGTCCCTCTACCCCCTACCCCCCTCTGGGGTAGCTAAGGGGTCACAGGGTCTGAAGGGGAGAGACTCTTCAAAGGACCTGAGGTCTCATCTCCAAAACAGAGTGGATCCAGACACCCAGTGTAGTTCAGGGACAATGTCTACTCAGACAACCAGGTTCCAATTCCGGTGTGTGACCTCTTGCAAGCGATTTTGCCATGGTGACCGTGGCCGCCTCTGTGCACAGGATAATGGCTGATGCTACTTCAAAGACTGCTGTGAGGATGAGACAAGTTGACACTGGGAGTGGTGCCAGGCCCACAGGAAACACTGGATGTGGGCTGGGTGTCCTGAGTGTGAGCCTAGTGCCAGGGACAAAGCAGATGCCCAATAAATGTGATGTCATCACACAGCAATGCCCTCAGGCCCCAGTAGACTCAGGCCAGCAGTTGCGGTGGGTCAGAGCAAGTGTTGGGCACTGGGGAAGGTGTCGAAGTGGGAAGGCGGTTGGGAAACAGAGAGTCTGGCATTGCCTGCATTTCCAAGGCCATCAGAGCTGAAGCTGTGGGTGACGGTGAAAACCTTGTTTCATCAGACCCTTCCATATCAGAAGGCTCATCTTTAGGAGTCTCATTCCCCTCCTGAAATCAAGCGTGGGAGAGGCTCACACTGGGAAGGGTGGGGCAGGACGGGGTTGGGAGAGGATGAAGGCTGAGGCCCCATCACTCAGAGAGGGTGGGCAGGGCCCCCCATCCTGCGTTATTTTATTTTATTTTGAGACAGGGTCTCATTCTGTTGCCCAGGCTGGGGTGCAGTGGCACGATCATGGCTTATCGCTGCCTCAAACTCCTGGCTCAAGTGATCCTCCTGCCTCAGCCTCCTGAGTAGCTGGGACTATAGGCACGCACCACCATGCCTGGCCAATTTAAAAATTTTTTGTAGAGACCAGAGTCTCACCATGTTGCCCAGGCTGGTCTCAAACTCCTGGCCTCGGGCAATCCTCCCGCCTCGGCCTCCCAAAGTCCTGGGATTGCAGGTGTGATCCACCACACCTGGCCCTGAGTTAAATTTTTATCATTTTCCTCCCTGTCAAACTGCCAAGGGTGCAGAGTTGATGTCACAGATTGGTACTCACAGTAGATGCAGACTGAGCACTTACCTGTGGCTGGGCTATTCCAATTTTTTTTTTTTTTTTTTTTTTTAGACTGGGTCTCTCTCTCTGTTGCCCAGGCTGGAGTGCAGTGGCATGATCTCGGCTCACTGCAAGCTCCGCCTCCCAGGTTCATGCCATTCTCCTGCCTCAGCCTCCCAAGTAGTTGGGACTACAGGCGCCCGCCACCACACCCAGCTAATTTTTTGTATTTTTTAGTAGAGACGGGGTTTCACTGTGTTAGCCAGGATGGTCTCGATCTCCTGACCTCATGATCTGCCTGCCTCGGCCTCCCAAAGTGCTGGGATTACAGATGTGAGCCACCATGCCCGGCCTGTTCTAAGTTTTAAGCATGACTGCCTTATCCCCACAGCCAGCCTTTGAGGAAGATGCTTTTGTTATCCCAGTTTTTTTGAGACAGAGTCTCAATCTGTCACCCGGGCTGGCATGCAGTGGCGTGATCTTGCCTCACTGTAACCTCTGCCTCCCAGGTTAAAGCGATTCTCGTGCCTCAGCCTCCCAAGTAGCTGGGATTACAGGCACCTGCCACCACACCTGGCTAATGTTTGTATTTTTAGTAGAGATAGGGTTTCACCATGTTGGCCAGGCTGGTCTTGAACTCCTGACCTTAAGTGATCCACTGGTCTCGGTCTCCCAAAGTGCTGGGATTATAGGCATGAGCCACTGCGCCCGGCCGTTATCCCGGTTTTATACATAGGTAGGCGGTATGAGGCATCCACAGGTTCGAGGAGCTCAGGAGCTTGCCCGAGGTCACAGAGGGGGTAATGGTGACAGCTAACATGTGCGGAGCACTTAGTGTACACCGGGTTCTCAGTGCTCTTCAGAACCCTGAAATAATCCTGTGGAGCAGATGTGTTACAGACCCGTATTTCAAATGAGGGGATTTTGACTCAGGGTGGTTACAGGACGTGCCTGAGGTTAACTGAGGTAACGAGATCAGAGCCAGGATTTGAACCCAGGCCATCGGGGTGCCAGGCACACACTAAGCCCCTTCCTCTGCTGCCTCTGAGAATTTAAACTGGGTGCAGCGTGGCTGTGCTCTTTTCACTGAGGGACCCTGGGGTGGGGCAGTATGGCCTCTAGACCATCCTCAGTTTCTCAGTGGCAGGATGGGGGTGGGCGACATCACCCCCCAACCTCCAGCGTTCACCCCCAACCCTGCTCACCTCCTCCCCGCAGATGAAGTTCTCGCTGGAGAAGCTGCACCAAGGCATCACAGTCTCAGATCCTCCCTTCGACACCCAGCCCCGGCCCGAAGACAGCTTTTCCTGAGGTCCCCAGCCACGCAGCTCTTCCCCCACATGGACAGATGGACACACAGAGCCTCGGCGGCCACTGCTGGCACGGTGTGAGCGCCAGGCATCTCCCACCCGCCCCTCCGGACGGCCCGACCTGGGGCTGTGCAGACGTGGGGGCCACGGAACCGAGATGCACTTTAGACCAGGGAGCTGGCCCGGCCTCTGGCAGGCCCCCCACTAACTTATTTTGCCCGGCTGAGGTTGTGGGGGGCGCCTCCTGGGGTGTACGGTTCCCTCAGCTCTGGGTTTAATGTATTATATTTATTTGGGGCTGATGGTGCCCCAATAAAGGGTCAGAAGTGGCTGTGGCTGTGCCTGTGGGGCCCTGGGAGTGGGTGGGAGCCTCCTGTTACACTCAGATCCTGCCGTGGTGGGGAGGGGACCTCTGTCTGTGTTCTGGGGCCATAGTCACTGAAACGATCTGGAATCCCCCCAGTATCTTACACAAGCTTTACATCATCTGAGGTCAACGCAGGAAGTCCGGGGACAGACTCTGGGAGCCAGAGTTCAAATCCTGCTTCCTAGCAGTGGTGTAACTGCAGCAGGTCAACCCCCTGGAGCTCCAGTGCCCTTTCCTGTGCAATGGGCAGAATGACAGTACCTGTCTCTCAGGGCTGTTAGAAGGGAGTGGTTCTCAAACTTGAGCTGCGTTCGAATCTCCTGGAGGGCTTGATGAAAAACAGACTGTGGGGCCCCTCCCTCCAAATTTCTGGTTCAGTAGGGCTGGGGCAGGGCTGGGATTCTGCCTTTATAATGAGTTCCCAGGGGATGCTCATGGTGCCATCCCAGACCACACTTTGTTTTTTTGTTTGTTTAAGTTAGGGTTTCTCTGTCGCCCAGGCTGGAGTGCAGTGGCACAAACATGGCTCACAGCAACCTCGACTTCCTGTGCTCAAGCCATCCTCTCACCTCAGCCTTCTGAGTAGCTGAGACTACAGGTGTAAGCCACCATGGCCGGCTAATTTTTTATTTCTTTTTGGAGATGGGAGCTGACTATGTTGCTCAGGCTAGTCTCGAACTCCTGGCCTCAAGTGATCCCTCCTGACTCAGCTTCCCAAAGTGTTGGGATTACAGGCGTGAGCCATCATGCCCAGCCCCAGACCACACTTTGAGAACCGCTGTTACAGGTTCAAGGAGTTCATAAATGTGGCTACTTATAACAGGGCCTGGCACAGATGGAATGGAGTAAGTATTCAATAAATGTTACACTTATTGCATAAAAATAGAGGGAAAAAAGTAACTCGTGTAGTGAGTACCAAGTACGTACGTACTGAGCTCTGTGCCAAGATCTGATGTTCATTTTATTCTCACAGTGACTCCCTGAGGTGGAGACAAAGATGTACACGCCTGAGGCTACCCAGCAGGGAGGCAGACTCCACGCCTGACCCCTGGGGTCTCCACATTTAGATGCAAGGTCCTAACCCCCTCAGGACCCTACCACAGCCCATTCAGGCTGAGGGTTTGTTGGATCCCTGTTTTACAGATGAGGAAATGAGCTTGGAGGCAAAGTCCCTGGTCCAGATAGAACCCAGGTCCACCTCACTGAAACCTTGTCCTGGTTCCAGAGTGAGTGTATGGGGTAAAGAGACACCTGTGGCATGTCACACCTCTGGCTATAAGAATCATCCTAACTGATGGCTTGGGGCAGGGGACTGGGGGAGGGATTGGAGAGTGGATCAGGAGTGGCATAGGAGGCAGAGCCAGCCCCTCTTACCCTCTAGCTGTGTGATCATGGCAAGGTACCCATGCTGAGCCTCAGTCTTCTGTATCTGTAACATGGGTATAATAATATCACCTATAGGAAGAATTAAATGAGCTAATGTTAGTAAAGTGCTTAGAATGCTTAGAACAGCACCAAGCCCATACATAGTAGGTGCTCACTGAACATAGCTTATAGGGCTGTGAGGTGCCTCCTGTCCAGTGGTGAGGCCTGTCCTCCCTGTGCCTTCACCTACCATCCCCCACCAGTGGAAGGGCCCGGAACAGCAAGAGGGTTATTCTCTGCAGGGGAATTTCACAGCTCAGGAGGCGCTGGCATAAAAGTCTAGACCACAGAGGTGTCGGATGTCCCTGGCTCCCTGCCCCTCTGCCATGGTCCTGCCCCACACCCTAGCTCCTCTTGTCTGGCAGGGCTGGGCCAGGGGGACTCTGAGACCTTACCCCACCCAGAATTGGAGGCTAGGACCTACGTAGTGACCCTTCAGCTGAGAGTCTCACTCCCACCCTGGTCCTGACAGACCAGAACTCCCACCTCCATTGTCTCCATTTGGCAGAACCTACTGGTAGGACAGGCCACTTACCACTGCTGGGGCAGGATTCCACATCCATCCTAGGCCAGCTACATGACTGTGGGCAAGGGAGCGGGCCTCCCATCCTCAGTTTCTTCATCTGTAAAATGGGGATAATAGAACTCGCTGAAGATTTGGGGCAGTAGAAGTGGGTTCAGCAAATCCCAAGGGCTTAGTGAACATTGACTTTCATTTATTTGTTTGACAAATATTGATTGAGTACCTGCAATGTGCCAGGAACAGTTCAAGGTGCAAGCGACATGGTGGTACACAAGACAGTGTCCTCACCTGGGGGATTTTTTACAATTTATTTTTATTTTTTATTTTTTAGACAGAGTCTCACTCTGTCGCCAAGCTGGAGTGCAATGGCACGGTCTTGGCTCACTGCAACCTCCACCTCCTGGGTTCAAGCAATTCTCCTGCCTCAGCTTCCCGAGTAGCCGGGATTACAGGCACACGCCACCATGCCCAGCTAATTTTTGTATTTTTAGTAGAGATGGGGTTTCACCATGTTGACCAGGATGGTCTCGATCTCTTGACCTCATGATCCGCCCACCTCAGCCTCCCAGCATGCTGTCATTACACGCCTGAGCTACCGCACCTGGCCTTTTTTTTTTTTTTTTTTTGAGAGGGAGTTTCGCTCTTGTCCAGGGATTACAGGTGCCCACCACCACTCCCGGCTAATTTTTTGGTATTTTTAGTAGAGATGGGGTTTCACCATATTGGTCAGGCTGGTCCCGAACTCCTGCTCTCAGGTGATCTTCCCCGCCCCCCGCCCTTGGCCTCCCAAAGTGCTGGGAAGGCGACGGGTGGCTCATACCTGTAATCCCAGCATTTGGGAGGCTGATGCGGACGGATCACCCGAGGGCAGGCGTTCCAGATGAGCCTGACCAACATGGTGAAACGCTGTCCCTACTAAAAAATAAAAAAAGTAGCCAGGCATGATGGTTCGCGCCTGTACTCCCAGCTGCTCCGGAGGTTGTGGCAGGAGAATCTCTTGAACCCGGGAGGCAGAGGTTGCAGTGAGCCGAGATCACGCCACTGCACTTCATCCTGGGCGACAGAGCCAGACCCTGTCTAAGAAAAAAAACAAAAACAAAATGTCAGGTAGTGAGACTGCTATGAAAAACATTCAACAAGAATAAAGGAGGTCAAGTTAGGAGCGGGGGAGGCAGTTTGCCCTGAAGCGACACAAGACCTAACGAAGGTGACATTGGAGCCATGGAGGCGGAGGGAGAGTGGCGGGGCAGCAGGGAGGGCAGGGGTAGAGGGGAGGGCAGGGGCCAAGGTCCCGAGGCAGGAATGGGTTCCCTGTGTTGGGAACAGCAGGAGGGCCTGAACAGCCAGAGTGGAGTGGGAGGAAAGAGGGGTAGAAGGTGACATCAGGGACATAAAGGGGTGCAGGGGATTGAAGGGGTCATCCTCCTGAAACAGCACCTCCAGATCCCCGGGGCTGCTTCTGCCCAGGGTGCCCCGCCTGCTTGGGTGAGGTCTGGATTGTAGCTGTAGTCTTAGCTTGACGGCCCCCACCTTCCTCTAATGCCTATTTGGGGGTCCCTGCACAGTGACCCCCAGGCCTGGATATCAGGGCTCTGAGGGGAGATCACTCGGAGGTTCGCTTCCTTGAACTCCTGAGGATGACCTCCATGATTTGAAATCGGAAACCCGGCCCCCAAACTGCGCTCCAAGTCCTCTTGTGACTCTGGGGGTGACCTTTCCAGACTCCCTGGGAAGGTGGCGGGGTGGTCCTCAGAGCCCCAGCGGAGTCGGAGACACCCGGACCATCC